AAAAGTCCAGGAAAAAACAAACATACTAATAGAAAATTTAAATAAACTAAATTTTAGCGTTAACGCGCAAAAAACTAAAATAATCCTATTCCAGAGCAGTAACAATAGATTATCCGTAAAAACTGATAGCCAAGAGATAGAAACAGTCAATTCACACGTTTACTTAGGAATAACATTAGACCGATATTTGAGCTTCGGTATACACATAAAAAATACAAAACAAAAAATAGTGGATCGTCTTAACATGATAAAAGTAATAAACAGTGTAAAAACTGGTGCACATCCGGAAACCATGATAACCATATATAAATCAATATTCAGAAGTGTAATTGAATATGGATCAACGATTTACAATAACGCTAGCAAAACCAATAAACAGATACTCAAAACAATAAATAATCAATGCTTACGTAAAATTACAGGATGTACTAAAACCACCCCAATCAATTCTCTAATGGCAATAGCTGCATCACAACCACTAGAAATTAGACACCAATTCATTGCCTGTAAAGAAATAGCCAGGTACATTCATACTCAAAACCCAATTGCTGACCAGTTAAAACGTGTAGATGTAAATGAAAGTACCGATTTAACCTACCTGGAGTCAATATACATAGATGAACTTAATACTTTTAATAAAATTTCACCTCTTATGAATGTACAAAATAGAAATATTCAACTCAGCATAGAATCAGTTTTACCTGGAGTTACCTCTGCTAAAATGAATACAAATCCAATTAAACTTAAACAGATAACGTTGGGATTATTGAACGGGAAATATAAAAATAAACCTGCAATATTTACAGACGCTTCTAAAGATAGTTCAATTTGTGGCATAGGAATATATAATTCAAACAACAAACAAAGATACTCTTATAAACTGGATAACGAAACTTGCATTACTACAGCTGAAATAATTGCAATAGATACAGCCTTAACCATAATAGAACAAAATCAAATTTCAAATGCAGTTATATACACAGACTCAAAATCAGCGTGTCAAATAATAGAAACAGGATCACATAGTAACAAGATTCCTGAACTAATAAATCAAATAGTTACCAAAGCTTATGAATGGAAAACAATTATTCAATGGGTGCCAAGTCACGTAAATATTCTAGGGAACGAGATTGCAGACAGATTAGCTAAACAAGGATTAACTGAGAAAAGAACCATATCCAATTGCATTTTATTAAAAGATGCTTTTGTAATTTTTAAAAATAAAATGCACAATAAAACAAATCTGTGGTATCGGGAATATTCTGATTCAAAGGGAAAAACATTTTTCAACTTTCAACAAACAATCGAAAACGTATCTTGGTTTTACAATAAAAATTTGAACAACTACCAGATAAGGCTGCTGAATAGATTGCTAACTGGTCACGACTGGTCAAAAGTTTGGAAGGCTAAAATGAAGCTAATTGACGACGAAAATTGTGAAACTTGTGATGAGCCTGAAAATGGTGAGCATATTGTGTTGCACTGTTGTAGATTTGGACGAATACGAGCAAAATATTCATTCGATAATAGATTCCGTACTTTAATTGAATTATTCAACAGCAGAGATTTGAATTTTTACGTCGAAGTTTGCACCTTTCTAGGAGAAATTAAAATGGACATTTAGTCGATTTTTCTTTTTTCTTAACAATTTTTTGATTCGATTTTGAAACGTCGGTGACTCCAGGGGTGTGTACGGTTCGTTTGGAGACTACTGGGTAATCCGAACACTAACGACACCTGTCTTTTGGAGCTAAATACCCATGCGTGAACCAAATACGCTACGAAGAGATAAATCAATAGGGCTTTATAGTCGTTGTCACTTTGCCCTTTCCCAGGAGCTGTCAAATGATAGCTCAAATAGAGAAGAAGAAGAAGAAGATAGATCTATCGTTAATGCAATATCTCGACATTCAACAAGTAGGAAGGAGAAATTACCTAAAACGCCTTGCTGGTTCTGTGGGGATTTACACTATGTGAAGGAGTGTCCCTACCAGTCTCATACCTGTGTGAACTGCAAGCGGAAGGGCCACAAGGAAGGTTACTGCTCATCATCCGAAAAGAATAGCCAGCAAAGAAGGTCGATAAACCGAAACCTAAAGACTTCATCAAGTCTAAGGGTATCTCGGTCAAGCAAATCGACCCGGATCTCAACGATCTCCGTATCGAAACAATCGATCAGTTCGATCTCTGGTCGGTCCCATTCAACTCGCTAGTGAACACTATACAGCACAACTCAAACGCAACCATGCAAACCTTGCAACTCAAGGATCCTGAAGCATTCCAGACCTCGCTCGGATGCTGCACAAAAGCACAGGTAACGCTCTACCGGAAGCCAGATTCTCGTCCTGCGTATTGCCCTAAGAGACCGGTTGCCTACGCTGCACTTCCGAAGGCTTCAAGACAACGGCATCATTTCACCAGTCAAGTTCTCCGATTGGGCTGCTCCCATAGTTGTGGTTCGCAAGTCCGATGTCTCCGTACGCATTTGTGGTGACAGGTCTCAACATATGCCCTCGACTCAGATCGCCATCCACTGCCACATCCAAACGACATCTACGCCGAACTAGCCGGATGCCGTTTCTTCTCCAACATCGATTTATCGGATGCCTACCTGCAGGTCGAGGTTGAAGAAGCCTCTCGAAAGCTGCTCACTATAAACACTCATAAAGGACTGTTCCAGTACAATCGATTGCCACCAGGAGTCAAATCTGCGCCTGGAGCGTTCCAGAGGATCATTGACAGTATGGTTGCTGGCATTCCAGGTGTCAAGCCATACCTGGACGACATCTTGATCGCTGGAAAAACTCAACAGGATCATGATCGCAGCCTGAACGCTGTGCTTCACCGGATTCGTGAGTATGGATTCCACTAACGCATCGAGAAGTGCCGGTTCTCTCTTCCGCAGATCAAGTTTCTGGGTCAGATAATGGATAAAGATGGTCTCCGTCCAGATCCTGCTAAAACCAATGCTATCTCCGAGATGCCACCACCGATGAATGTATCGCAACTACGTTCGTACCTTGGTGCGATCAACTATTACGGACGATTCGTTGGCCAGATGAAGGAACTTCGAGCGCCGCTTGACCGTCTACTAAAGAAGGATGCTCCAGGGCCACCCACATTAAATCCGTTTGTGTTGCGTTGACGTAAATTTGACAGTTAAACAATAGATTTAGCTGTCACTTTACCGCCACGCGTCCGATCCGGATCTAATGTGCGTGGGCCTTCCTTGAAAATGAACCGCGAACTGCCAAAAGTCGTTCGACCGTTTCAAAACCATCCTGGTCTCCGATCTCCTGCTGACTCATTTCGACCCCAGCAAGGAAATCATCGTGGCTGGAGACGCTTCCAAGAATGGTTTGGGCGCTGTAATCCTACCTCGCTTCTCCAACGGCTCCGTCAAAGCCCCGTCGCTCACGTTTCGAGGTCGCTGACACCTGCAGAAGAAAACTATAGTCAAATTGAGAAGGAAGCGCTCGCGTTGGTATTTGCTGTCACCCGTTTTCACAAGATGATATTCGGACGAAAATTCGTGCTGCAGATCGACCACAAACCGCTCCTTGATATTTTCGGCAGCAAGAACGGCATTCCCGTTTACACCGCCAATCGTCTTCAGCGTTGGGCGCTAACGATGCTGCTGTATCCCAACGGCTAGCAAACCAGACGAGGAATACGTGATTGCTGCTCTCCAAACGGAATCTGATTTGAAGGCAATTCTCGCAGACTCAATATCCAGCTTGCCGGTCACATCCGATATGATCTCCAAGGAAACGCAAGACGACCCGGTCCTACAAGAGGTACTCAACTACATCCGCAATGGCTGGCCAAACACTGTAAGCGAGCTACCAGATACAGCTATTCGTCAGTTCTATTCCCGACGAGAGAGTCTCCAGGTCACCCAAGACTGCGTCATGTTCGCTGACAGAGTTGTAGTTCCAGAACGATTCCGCAAGCGCATCCTCCGACAACAATGCAGCAAAATCGCCCAGTAAGACTACCCTTGAATCGTGGCCGATACCAACGAACAACGGTACCCAGTTTGTAAGTGCTCGATTCAAGCAATTCTGTGAAGAAAATGGGATCCACCACTTGACGACAGCCCCTTACCACCCACAATCGAATGGGCAAGCTGAACGCTTTGTCGACACGCTTAAGAGAGGGCTGAAGAAACTCACCGAAGGGGAAACCATGGTAACATTCCAGCATCTCCAGACGTTCCTCTCAGTTTTCCGGTCAACTCCAAATAGAAGCGCTCCGGCTGGTAAGGCACCTGCCCATCTATTTTTAGGAAGACCAATACGAACAACGCTGGACCTATTGAAGCCCTGTGTTCAAGAGTCCAACCTTGGAGGACAAGAAGCAGAACGCTGAATTCAACAGACGGCATGGCGCAGTGAAGAAATCATTCGATCCGGATGATTTGGTCTACGCTCAGGTCCATCGTCGCAACACATTCGATTGGATTCCAGGACAGGTAATCGAGCGCAAGGGCAAAGTGAACTACACTGTTTTGCTCGAACATGGACGCTTGATTCGAGCACACACCAACCAGCTAAAACAACGATATCCGGATGAAAATGATGCCGATCATTCTCCAAATCCAAGCAATCAATTCCAGATGATGAACTGATCCCTGATAATGGCGAACCCGATGCTCAGTCTGGACAGCGTTTTATAACATGTTATAGCGCTATCTTGATGGTGGTTTTTGTGTTGCAATTATATGACAACCGTTATAACATGTTATCTATCCAGTCTGGACAACGTTTTATATATACAATCGTCTTCACATATACAATCGTCATTTTAGTTAACAAACTAACTGTGGCACCTTTGATTATCCACCTTGGGCCAGCACTTCGTCAGCTAGCTCACACAATCTCGGACAAAACATCACTATAGCCAACCTCCATCTGATCCCCAACATCTTCCCGCGGAATCAGAGATTTCATCCGACGAACTTTGGCCTAATCTCAAATCATCCAAAACATCCGACTCACCTTGGCACCCCGGTTCGATTCCGGGTGTTTGGCGTGGTACATGCAGAAGTACTTCCGATGCCCGTTCAGCGCGATGACCGTTCCGATGCAGTTCCGCGGGTTGATTTTCATCTCCCGCGACTCGGACAGCGACAGCCGCAGCAGTTCCGCGTACCAACCGATGCCCTTTTCGATCAGCATGTGGGCGAACATAAGAGTTTTGTTCCTGGAATTGTTGAAAATTTGTAGTCATTAATCGTGACTCATACCGGAGGCCTGCAGGCGAGTTGCATACTTCCTGTAGGGCCACACTGCTTTGTGGAAGGCAGGGATCAGTTTGCTTCGCGATTGCATGTCCGTCAGCAGGACGATCGTCCGGCAGCCCGGCTTCAACAGCCGGACCAATCCGTTATACTTTTCCGCACGCAGTTCGTGCAGACGCAGCTCGGGGACGTAGTTCTGGACTTTGCCTGCGGAATAGATTGTCGTTTTGGGGTTCGGAAGATTGTAACACAAATCAGTTACCATTCTTATCCTCCGGGGACTTGGACTGCTTCTTCTGGATGTTTTCCTCTTCCAGTCTAACCAGGTATGACATCAGATAACCGGCCGCCAGGATGAACGCGATGGTGCCCACCACGGACAGGGCCGGCAGGATGTGCTCCTGACCGAGGTTTTCCGTCATGTACTCGAAGGCCAGCAGAACCTTGTTCAGGATGCGAATCACCAATCCCTGAGCGTGCTCGTCCAGTAAGTCCTGAAGAAAAAAAAAATCACATCACCTTCTAGAATTCCATAAAAAAAATCAAATTCAACACCCACCTTTACTTCCGCCTCGTAGGTCAATGCCTCGGACGAGCGCAACAGCCGCTGGATCGCTCCATCCAGCTTCTGCTTCGTGTTGTTGTAGTGGATATCGTGGGTCTCGTTCTCCACGCTCTTGTTCAACGTTTCCAGCGTGGCATCGTGCACCCACTCGTATTTGATGTGCTTGGCATCCTTGCGCCAAATGATGACTACCTTCAGCATCGTCTCCTTCAGCTTGCTTTGCTCGGCCAGGGCACTGATGAACTCGGTCTGCTTCTCCTGGTAGATGTAAGCGAACCGGACCCGTTCCGGACTGTAGGTCGATTCCATGGCAATTCGTCGCATTGCCTGCCGGGCTTCGTCGTGCGTCGAAATGTTCTCCGTGACCAGCACCACACACAACCGCTTTCTCGGACGGTTCCATTCGGCGGGGCAGACTCCTTCGAGCATGGCCTGCGAGGACAACCGAGGAAGGGCCAAATATTTGTTCATCGAGATGATATTGTTCAGCGTGGGTGTTGGAATGTCCGACATTGAAATCGACGCCACCGGACGGGTTGAGTCTTCGTTGAATATAAGCAACGTGTCCAACGATGGATGGATCTTGAACCGTTCTTGGATGTGTTGAGTCTTCTGGGAGTTTAGTTGGACGAAACCGAATGCCACCCGGTCTCGGAAATGGAATGCTGTGATTAGGTAGCGGAGGCGTACCTGCGATCGTGGTTCTATGACCAACGCCCGGACGCGATTGTCCGACCAACCTTGCAGGAAACTATCGATAGATCCATCATCGACCGCTGGAAGCAGTTTGTATGGCAATTTCTGCCGGATAAATTCCACGACCCGTTGAGTGTTGTACACACTCTCCTTATAGACGTAGTTATGCCCATCAAGAACCATGATCACACACGGCAGCGAATGAACTCCCACCTTCCTCACCAGCTGATTCTCGTGACCGGCATTGATAGTGGCAAAGGTCACACCGAACGGCTCCAGCGTATCAATCATTTTCTTAAACGAATTGGCCGCCTTCATGCATGAGAAACACCAATCAGAGTAGAACATCAGAATCTGCGGTGTGTGGTGGCTCTTCGGAACGATGTTCGTCTCGTAATACTTGGATGTAATCGACAGCCTATGGAACAGACTAATGTCCTGATCGTGGAAGTTAAAATTGTGCCCGAAAAACTGCTCGAACGGATCCGGAAACCGCCCATAGTTGCTATAGTCTGGACGTTCCTTGTACAGATGAGCATCCTCGTTCGTGATGCCATACAAATCGTACGCCTTGCGTCGTTCCGAATCCGACAGCAGCTCGTAGGCTTGCTTGATCTCAACAAACTTGGTCTCCGCCTCCGGATGGTCCGATTTGTCCGGATGCCTACAAGCAAAAACAAGACACGACAAAAATGCATTCACTCTCAACCTAGATCATAATAATCGATTTTTCGCCCATCACCCCACAATCAACTACTCACCATTCCTTGGCCAGCTGTTTGTACGCTCGGCGAATATCCTGCAGGGTTGCATGTTTCGTCACGCCAAGAATTTTGTACGGATCAGTCCCGGCGGCGGCCGAAGCCTTAGCTACCGTCGCCAGCAGCACCAGGCACAGCACCAACCCCACCAACAACCTCGACCATCCCTTCCATTGGGGGTAAATTTTCATGATTAACCCTCCCGACTGCCGATTCTCGTCCTCACTCACACCCAATCGAATTAAGATTAATTCACGATTAGATCCACATTAAACGATGCACCGTTTCACGATTAACAAAGGTGTTTTTCCGGACCTCTGGACTGGGCAGCTATTTTTTCACTTTTTTAGCCTTGATTGGCAGAAAATTTTCCAACCCCCTTTTTATTCTAACTCACACACTCGCAAAGAATGTAAAAGTGACATTTTGCTTTGTATCCTTTTCTAATTTCGACCTTCTGCTTTGTGCTGGATTTTCGTCGTTTTTGTTCGCTCTCCGGTCGGTTGGTTTTGATTGTGTGCGAACGTTTGAGCCCTTCAGCAACTTCTTCTGAACTATGATCACAGTGAAACCATTGTGAGCCGGGTTTTAGTTCGATATGAAGGCGGGAAGGACTGATCCACCACGCTGAAAATTTACTGTTGAAACAAAAATATTTGAGGTAAATTTAATTATAAACTCAGTTTGTTCTGGCCACAAAAATAAACAATGTTTATTTCAAACGTATTTCATGTTTGAAGTCATGTAATATTAATGTTTAAAATAAAAATAATGTTACACCCCGTTCACATTACAGCGCCCGCATAAACAATAACCATAAGATGCGCCTAACCGCCAATTCGGGATATCATCCCAATTTTATGTGGTATGGTCGCACCATCTAAGATATCGTCAGTATATGGTACACGTTTATTAGGGCGTATATCACGTGATATACGCTGTCTTGCAATGAGCTGGAAATCCTATGTATGAGTGCTCATTGCAAGACAGCCTATATTACGTGATATAGGCTGTAATGTGAACGGGGTATTACGTTTATTTTAAAAATATTAGTGTTGAAAATAAACGTGAATATTTTTGTTTGGTTTGACAACAATGTGAACAAAATTTTTTTTTTAACTAGCTCGTTTATTTACTAGGCTCAGTCGTGTGTGACACTTTGCGGAGCCAAAATCAGTAATGTTTGATTTACATTTTAAATAGCAGTATTTCTAGGTTAGTATTGGGTACCAATTACTCGTGGCGGGCTCGAGGTTAATAGGTAACAATTTCAATTGGAAGGATCTAGGTAGGAAACTGGTTTCTGAAGCCTCCTACAGATACTACTCTCGGACGGTTGACCAAATCCTGGCTGGGCAGGGGCAAGTAGCACAGGAACAGGAGGATAATAAGACTGGGACACAATGGCGGGAAATTGTTTGGAAAGGAGGGGATAGTCACATCAAACTCTAACATCAGACAAACAAAGGAATTCGTAGATCGCTTGCATGTAGGGAAGATCACGTGTTCCCAATACATCTCTTACTTCACGGAAGGGTTGTCTACCTCGGGCCACTAGGGTATCCAATAGTTGTGCTCTGGAGGCGTCATTACCCGGGCAATACCAAACTGCGTGATCGATGTCATCATAACCGGTTCTGTACCTACATATATTGCTGTCAACGAGGTTTATTCTATAGAGATGTGCGTCTAGCGAGTAGTGGTTGGACATAAGTCTTGACATCACTCGAATGATTCCCTGACTTACATCCAGACCTTTGAACCACGCCCTCGAAGAAACATTTGGAATAATGGAATGTAACCACCGCCCAAGAGAATTATTTGTCCAATCGTTTTGCCAACTTAAAAGAGAACTCTGACGTACTAGTGGGAAAAATTCATCATGTGAAATTCTTCTATCATAAATCTCGCCTTGTTGTGCGCCCACCTTTGCGAGAGAGTCTGCCTTCTCATTGCCTGCACGGTTAGAAAAAAGTACCCAAAATTAAGTTATTTTCAATCATCTCGGCACTATAGTGCAGGAACCCAAAAGTAGGTAAAGCGGGTCAAAGTAATTTTCATTTACTTGTTTGCAGTTCGCATGGAATTTTCCACTGGCTTTTTAACCAAAAGTAAGTTAGTTGTACCCAACAGTAGGTAAATATGATTATACTCAACGTTGGGTTCCCACACTTTACTATCCCTGTTGGGTGGTTTTGCTCCTCCGTTTTTGACAACATTAGAAGGAGAAAAGGAGACAAACTAGTCAAATGTAGGTAAAAGTGAACTTTCCGTTGGGTACTTTTTTCTTACCGTGTGGGATTGAGCAATGTGAGGGGACCCATACAAAGGTAATCATATATGATCTTTCGACCAGCAAACTCATCTGCTCCCTTACCTTTGAAAGGAAATAAGATGAGTGCCTACCTTGTTTCATCGACCGAATAGCCTCAATCGAACTGAGACTATCCGAGAAGATGAAGTAATGGTCTATGGGCATATCGGAAATCATCCCTAATGCGAAGTTGATTGCTGCTAGCTCAGCAACATAAACGGAACAAGGTTCCTGAAGTTTCCGAAAGGCGGTTGAGTATTTATTGAAGACGCCGAAGCCAGTGGATCCATCAATGCGTGATCCATCAGTGAAAAATCTTCTATTGCAATTGACTTGTTGGTACTTTTCAGCAAAAATGCGGGGAAATGAGATAGGTCGAAGTTGATCTGGAACTCCTTGAATAGCCTGTTTCATGGAGAGATCATAGTCAATGGGGGAACTGTAGTTAGTAAAGCATACACGAGAGGGGTTATAGCAAGGAAGGCTAATATCCGATGACATATAATTAAGATAGATTCGCACGAATCTAGACTGGATGCTCAATTCGAGCATTTCTTCGAAGTTTTCAATCACAAGGTTGTTACTGACACTACATTTAATCAATATTCTTAATGAGAGCTCCCAGAAACGGTTCTGCAGGGGTTTTACGCCCGCTAGGACATCTAGGCTCATATTGTGTGTTGAATGCATACAGCCAAGGGCACGTAAACAACGTTATTGAATACGTTCCAATTTGATTAGGTGGCTTTTTCTTGCCGAGTGAAAGCAAAAAGAGCCATACTCAAGAACTGAAAGAATAGTCGTTTTATATAGTTTAATGAGGTCTCCCCACCATGTCCCGGAAATTGATCGTAGAAAGTTGATCCTTTGTTGACACTTTTGTTTCAAATACGTAATGTGGGTACCCCAAGTGCATTTTGAATCAAACCAGACTCCAAGGTATTTGAAGATTAAAGATTGGGTAATGTCTCTGCCCAAAAGATTTAGACGCAGTTGGGCTGGAAACCGCTTCCTTGTAAACACTACCAATTCAGTTTTTTTGCGGTGAAAACTCGATCCCTAAATTTCTTGCCCAGAAAGACAGATTATTTAGGGAATTTTGCAATGGTCTTTGCAAGATTTCCGCACGTGGACCTCTCATGGAAACCACGGCATCGTCTGCAAGCTGTCTAAGCGTGCATAGATTATCTAAGCAGTTATCAATATCTTTGACATAGAAATTATAAAGTATGGGACTTAAACATGAACCTTGGGGTAAGCCCATGTAGCTAATTCTAGAAGTTGTCAGTTGACCTAGATTGAAGGTCATTTGTTTTTCTGACAGTAAATTATACAAAAAATTATTCAAAATACCGGGTAATCCACTACTGTGCAAATTGTCTGACAGTATGTCTATGGAAACCGAATCAAATGCGCCCTTAATATCCAAAAAGACTGAAGCCAATTGCTCCTTGTGCGCAAAGGCCAGTTGAATATCAGATGAAAGCATCGCTAGACAATCGTTTGTTCCTTTACTCTTCCGGAAACCAAATTGCGTATTTGAAAGTAGATTGTTTGATTCAACCCAATGGTCAAGTCCTAATAGGATCATTTTTTCTAATAATTTCCTCAGGCATGATAACATAGAGATCGGACGGTAAGAATTGTGATCAGACGCTGGTTTCCCAGGCTTTTGAATAGCTATTACTTTAACCTGTCTCCATGCTGGTGGAACTATATTGAATTCCATAAATGAATTATATAGGTTAAGTAATCGTCTTTTAGCGATATCGGGGAGGTTTTTTAGAAGGTCGAATTTGATCATATCGCTTCCCGGAGCAGAGTTATTCGATGAAAGAAGTGCCATTGAAAATTCCAGTATTGTGAATGGTTCATCCAGAGAACCGTTACTTCGGGCTGTATCCCGTAAAGTTGGTTGTGCTGGAACAGAATCTGGACAAACCTTTTTAGCGAAGTCGAATATCCATTGGGAAGAGTATTCTTCACTCTCATTGGAAGATGAGCGGTTTCGCATATAGCGAGCCTTTTTCCAAAGCGTTGTCATCGAGGTTTCTCTAGAAAGTCCCTCGATAAAAGTACGCCAGTAATTTCGTTTCTTTGCTTTTAGTAAGTTTTTAAGCTTTTTTTCAAGCTTTAGATACTTTTCAAAAAGCTCAGATCTTTCATGTCTACGATAATCTTTAAAGGCATCGGATTTCTCAAGATACAACTTTGTGCATTCGTCATCCCATCCAGGGGTGGCGGGTCTTCTTTTGAGGGATGCACTTGGAACACGTCGTTTCTGAGCTTCTAATGCGCTTTTGTAGATTAGCTCGGTAAAGAAACGATACTCTTCCAGTGGTGGTAGAGGATCGGTAGAATCAATACCAAGAGTTACCGCCGATACAAATTTTCGCCAATCAATGTTCCTCGTGAGGTCAAAAGGAACTTGAATTGACTGATCTGTTTTTAGACGACCACTTTTGATTGAAATAATAATTAGCAAGTGATCACTACCATGGGGATCATTGATAACCTTCCACAGACAATCTAATGATAGTGAGTTAGAGCACAAAGAAATGTCAAGACGGCTCTCTCGAGCAGGAGGGTTTGCTATACGTGTTGCTTCACCAGTGTTCAAGATAGTCAAGTTGAAATCGTCGCACAAATCATAGAAAATACCCGCTCTATTGTCATCGTATGATTCGCCCCAACCAGTACCGTGTGAGTTCATATCGCCCAGTATTAGAACTGGAGATGGAAGGATATTAACTGAACTCCAAAGCTGACGGCGGTTTATGGAAGTCCTTGGAGGGACATATACAGAAGCTATGCAAAGATCTTTGTTCTTCACATTTATTTGGCAAGCGACAATTTCAATGCCTGAAATTATTGGGATTGAGATTTTATAGAAGGAGTAGCACTTTTTGATCCCCAAAAGTACGCCACCATATGAATCATCTCGGTCCAGGCGGATAATGTTAAAATCGTGGAAGTTTAGTTCATCTTCAGAAGAAAGCCAAGTTTCACAGAGTGCAAATATATCACAATCAGAATTGTGCATCAAATACTTGAACGAGTCTAAT